CTCAGGAAATCCTTATGTGATATACGGTTTTGTAGAGCAACTTCATGAGACCTTCAGTCAGAAATATTAGTGAATTAAGCTGTAAATCTGTATAATTGTCTTTCATTGGTGCATGTAGTTTTTCAGAGGGAAGAAGTGCTGCAATTTGTTATTAGCACACTTAAAAAAGATGGTTCTTCAAGGGTTCTTTTGTAAAGAAAATGGTTCTATATAGAACCATGAACACTCACAGAACCCTTTGCAAGATTAAAGTGTTCTTCAGATTGATGGAGAACGTGTTGTATGTGGTTCTATATAGAATATTTTCAAAAATGGTTTCTATATAGCACAAAAAAGGGTTCTGCTATTGTTACAGTGTCTAGATTGTAAGAATAGAAGACCATTTTTGGTACTATATAGAACCCTTGTCAAAAAGGTTCTATATAGAACCACATACAACACATTTTCCATCAATCTGAAGAACACTTTAATCTTGCAAAGGGTTCTGTGAGTGTTCATGGTTCTATATAGAACCATTTTCTTTACAAAAGAACCCTTGATGAACCATCTTTTTTAAGTGTGTAGGGCTACTGGCACCGGGTTGTGTGTGTAGCCTAGGAGACACCACTGTCAATCATTTTGCGCTCTGACATGCTCCTGACACTACAGTGCTGTCATATTGTATTAATTCCTAGTCCATCTGTTTCTCTGATACCTTTTACCCTGTTCTTCAGTGGTCAGGACCCCCATGGACCCTCACAGAGCAGGTACTATTTGGGTGGTGGGTCATTCTCAGCACTGCAGTAACACTGATGTGGTGGTGGTGGTGTGTTAGTGTGTGTTGCGCTGGTCTGAGTGGATCAGACACAGCAGTGCTGCTGGAGTTTTTAAACACCTCAGTGTCACTGCTGGACTGAGAATAGTCCACCAACCAAAAATATCCAGCCAACAGCGTCCTGTGGGCAGCGTCCTGTGACTACTGATGAAGGACTAGAGGATGACCAACACAAACTGTGCAGCAGCAGATGAGCTATCGTCTCTGACTTTACATCTACAAGGTGGACTGAGAAGGTAGGAGAGTCTGATAGAGTGGACAGTGAGTGGACACAGTGTTTAAAAACTCCAGTCTGTACAGTCTGTAACTGTAGAACTACAAAGTGCACCTATATAGTAAGTGGAGCTGATAAAATGGACAATGAGCGTAGAAACAAGGAGGTGGTCATAATGTTATGCCTGATCGGTGTATCTTTAATATTAAAACAAAAAGTTAAACATTTAAAACTGTGTTGACGGAGTCTAGAACAGGGAGAGACGGTGCAGTATGCAGTGCAGTGTTGCTACAAGACCATAATGTGGAATTCAGCTGAGGAGTATTTGTTTTTGACTTTTCTGTGAGGTCTGTTGAAAATATCTGACTATTTATGTAAAAATATCCAGTAGTTACCTTTCCCTTCTGCAGTCTGCAGATGGAAGGCTCTGTATTGACGCACTGCAGTGAGAGATCGCAGTGGGAGACGTGATATTGCGCTGGAAATCTGCCACGTCCGACCTCACTGCTCTGAGAAAGATTGCTTCTTGATAGCTACTTTGGCTGAGCGGCTGCCAGCGAGCTCGGCCCTGCTGTTTCCTCTGCACACGCCGCTGCCAGAGAAGAAAAGAGAGCAAGTGCTGTTTGCATTCTTCTAGTATAGGGCTCGAGAGAGCAGCCGCTACAGCGCACTGTGTAGAACTGTCACTCAGAGACAGCCGGGTGGGCTAACGATGCATAACATACAGCAGTGGCGGACTAAGTACACAAATCCAGCACCTGAGTGCAGATACTGAAGTTTTACTCAAGGAAAGCCACGAGTGACCACATGTTCCAGTGATTTTACCACGGGTAAGGGTGTTATTAGGCCTGATGCGAAGCATAAACCCTCTTACCAGCAGTGTTGGAAGTAATGCATTACAAAGTAACGTGTTATTGTACTTCCATTACTTTTGGTGGTAATGAGTAATGTAACTAATTACCTTCTCAAATTACAATTACTGAAATTTAAATGTGCTTGTTACTGGCTACTTTTGTCTTGTGTAAAAATATTACTAGACAACTGCAGACTATAACGGTCAAATGCAGCCTATTCCACCAGGTTCTGTCTATGATCTCATGACCTGTCATGACCTCACGGTGGCGCTATGAATGAGTGAATCAATTAGGCTTATCTATTTTTTCATACCTCAATACCTTCTTCACATTTCACATTTTTTCAAAATTGGAAAAAAGTAGTTAGCAGTTACCAAATAAGTGAACACTGCACACGATTTTCAAGCCATCATTCAATAAATGTCAAACCATCTACTGAACAACTGATAAATGTTAAACAGTGCAGCTATAGAGGAGCTGGTTAGCGTTAGCTTCGCTATCATAGTCATGATCACTAGATTTTAATCCAGCGTCTTGAAAGCTGGGTCGGCCTCTCAGGTACAGTTTTATAATGGTTTAGATCATATTTAGTTACTATACAGTTCATGGTTTCACTGGAAAATCGTTCATCAAAAAATTTTCTTGTGGAGTCCCACAGGGTTCAGTTTTAGGGCCCTTCTCTTTGTACATGTTACCTCTAGGTGATGTCATCTGCTGATGACGCACATCTATACATTTCCATTCCTTCTGATGATCAGGACTCTGTAGACAGACTGACCAGCTGCGTGGCAGATATTTCTCAGTGGATGTCGCAAAATTTCTAAAAATTCTAATTAAAATCACGAAAAAACTGAAATACTGATCGTTGGTACTTAAACTCAGAGAAAGCTGCTTTATAAGAAGCTCAGTTCTTTAGCCTCAAATACCAAACCTACAGTAGGAAACCTTGGTGGGAGCTGCACTGGCTGCCTGTATCATTCAGGATAGACTTTAAAGCTCTGCTAATAGTTTTTAAAGCTCAAAATGACCTTAAAGCTCCACTCACATCACAGAGAGTCTGTTTATGATCTTAGATCTGCAGATACTGACCTTCCACAAACACCTTCAGTAAAACACAGAAAACGTGGAGAGACTCGTTCAGTTATTCTGCTTCTAAACTGTGGAGCTCAGTTCACCTTTCATTACACAGTCGAGCTCAGAGCTCACTTTAGCATTAAAACTCTGTGTCTCTTGGTATTTTTCTTTTTAATTTGATCTGCCGTTTTTTATATGATTTTAAATTAGTACTCAGAATTTCCTGCATTACTTTTAAGTCACTTTGAGCTGCCACTGGCATGAAAAGTGCTATTTAACTTAAAATTTTTATTACTATTGTTATTATTGTGATATTTATGATAGTTATATTGCCTTTAAATTGACTGAGCTTTGGTTCGGCTCAATAAAGTTTGATATTTTTCTTCATTGTTTATCTGTGTGCTATGCTAAAGATGGTTGCTGCTTCGAAATCCGTCTGTCCATGTTGCTATTAAGCATTTCGCTTCGTCCGGTCCCCAACCATGTGCGTCCTCCATGATTATCTTCCTCGGAGGCAGTGATCTGCCCTGTGACGCGCTGCATTGGGAGGAGTTTCGGTTGTACTGGGAGGAGTTTTAGTTTTACTGGGAGGAGTTCTGTTTGCAATGGGAGGAGTTTTAGTTTTACTGGGAGTAGTTCTGGTTGCACTGGGAGGGGTTTAGGTTGCACTGGCAGGAATTTCAGTTGTACTGGGAGGAGTTTTAGTTTTACTGGGCAGAGTTCTGGTTGCACTGGAAGGAGTTTCAGTTGTACTGGGAGGAGTTTTGGTTACACTGGGATGAATTTCAGTTGTACTGGGAGGAGTTTTAGTTTTACTGGGAGAAGTTCTGGTTGCACTGGGAGGAATTTCAGTGTACTTGGAGGGGTTTTAGTTGTACTGGGAGGGGTTTCAGTTCTATTGGAAGGAGTTTTGGTTATTCTAGGAGGAGTTTCAGTTGTACTGGGAAGAGTTCTGGTTGCACTGGAAGGAATTTCAGTTGTACTGGGAGGGGTTTTGGTTATATTGAGAGGAATTTCAGTTGAACTGGGAGGAGTTTCAGTTGTTCAGGAGGGGTTTCGGTTGTCCCAGTAGGGGTGTGGTTGTACTGAGAGGGGTTACGGTTGTACTGGAAGGAGTTTGTTGTATTGGGAGGGGTTTTGTTTGTTGAACATACCTTGGAGAGACGGATGTGTTTATGCTGCTATAATGCGGCCCAAAGGCGTCTCGGTCCACCTCCTGAAGTGGTTTGAGTGATCAGATTTGTATCTGTTTTAAATGCGTCTTGGATGTGTTCACACTTGCATTTTTATGCGTTTTGGCCTCGTCCAGATAAAATCCTGATACGAAGTGACCAGGTGAAAACGGTCTAATGTTGGCACAAATATTTACACATGGCATTATTTTCCTCTAAATAAATCTACTTAGGCTTTAATATGGTGAGTTATTGTAAACCGATGATTCATTTGTGAGGTGCCCCCAAACGTCTGATGTGCAGCGTATATCTTGACGCAGTGAGTGGCTGTTAAAGCAGGCCACGGCGAACAAACCCAACATTAAATCACATTATCAGACGGAGTGCTCTGTTGAGAGGAAATATTTGCACACATCAGCACAAAATGCAGCATCTACATCACACTATTGATCAGATGGCTAATGCTGGCATTAGTCACTTCCATGAGCTCTAATGTGCTTTTCCATTCTTTTTTAAAGTTTCTGTAAAGCCTTCCACTTAATTTTTAAGTTGACGTGTCCCGCGAGGGCTCCTGGCATGAAAGAACGAAGATATGAGAACATTCTTTTAAGTCATTTAGTGGAGAGAGAGAGAGAGAGAGAGAGAGAGAGAGAGAGAGAGAGAGACGGTAACCACTAGCAATGTATAAACTATTCCGAAAGGAAGAAAATCTGAAGGATTTAAGAGTTTACGCTGCAACATGGAGCTAATAATCCGAAGCTTATTTTCTCTACTTCAAAGCACCCTGGGATGTTGAACGCCGGAGGAATGGTTTAAGCTGAGGGAGCGAGCGCTTCCTTAAGCCACGGAGAGCTTATGAAACCAGTCAGCAAGCATCAGAAAGTCATTTATTCAAACCCTTCAACAACAGAGTGCATTAACGACAAACATGGCTAGCAGTATTAGGCACCAGGAATTCAGTTCATGAGGAGGCCTATGGGATCTAATACTTAATCCCAAAAAAATGTGCCCTTCCAAAAGGAAAACTTTAGCAGTGAGTCACTTTCCATTTAAAAAGAAAAAAAAGTTCGTAAGACATTAAAACCAATGGCGGTAAAACATGCCCTGTTCTTCAGACCTGTGGTGAAGGTCATTCTTCAAATATGTTCCAGAAAAGCATTCGGAAATAAAAACGGTCAGTAACAAACACCCTCATCATCCAATATCAAACTCGGCATGTGCAAACGTTCCTTTTTTTTTTTTACACCAACACATACATGAACTGCAAATTCTCATTTCTTCAGTCCTTTAAGAAAGTGTAAATGTCAGGCTGTGGAATTTATACAAGGTTAAATTCTGCTTCACATTTTTTTTTTTGTTTAAATAAGTAATTCAGGTGTTCCTACATCAGCACCCGCTTGAGTAAACCTGCACGTTCTCATTGAGATGTTCTGCATTTCTGTACACAGGCTGGAGTCTGAAGTCCGGTCTGATTTTTCACTGTAGTGTTCACAAGGCCCTTGGAAGTAAGAGAACCCACTGAGGGCACATACTGCGCCGTGGGTGGAGGTGAAGCAAGCGTGGAAACCCTGCCTGGTCTCGTGGCTGAAATTCTTTCGGCGAAGTGTTTTACGACACGAAACTTTCAACACTATTTCAAAACAACACGACAGAAACTGATGCAAGAGGTCAGTGCGTCCGCATTGCCTCCTGTTTGGCAATAGATACGCATGGCATGTGATTAGCTCGTTAGCTCTGTGCTGTCAGGAGATGACCAGTCCAAACGTCAGCGCTCTGGTTCTTCTGCTGCACTCACTCACTCCTAGGTAGTTTTGTTTTTTGTTTGTTTTTGAGAGGCGTCTAACGTTTCCCACTGCAGGATGACCACAGCTTGGCCATGCTAGGTTTGTGCAAGCCCAGAGAAGCTCCTGCTCCTGCCATCCGTCGGCTACGGCCGGAAGAGCATGACACCTGCAACGAGAGACAGAGGGAGCATTTGAATTCAGCTTTGTGTCGACTAATGGTTGCAAATGTGAGAGTGTTCAAATGATCATTACAGAAGAGTAAAAGAAACAGAAAAAAACAGTATCACATCAGCCTGAGTGATATTTTTCCAGATCAATAATTATTACACCGATCAGGCATAACATTCTGACCACCTCCTTGTTTCTATGCTCATTGTCCATTTTATCAGCTCCACTTACTATATAGGTGCACTTTGTAGTTCTACAGTTACAGACTGTAGTCCATCTGTTTCTCTGATACTTTGTTAGCCCCCTTTTACCCTGTTCTTCAGTGGTCAGGACCCCCATGGACCCTCACAGAGCAGGTACTATCTGGGTGGTGGATCATTCTCAGCACTGCAGTAACAATGACGTGGTGGTGGTGGTGTTAGTGTGTGTTGCGCTGGTCTGAGTGGATCAGACACAGCAGTGCTGCTGGTTCTTTCAGCATGCAAACAGTTCTTTCATTGCTCATGGTTCTGTATAAAACTGCTGTCTTTACTAAAGATCCCCTTGAAGAACCATCTTTTTTCTGTGAATTATACTATTTCAACCACTGAAAACACTGATTCCAGAAAGGTACTGTATACAAAACATACAAGCCTAATGTATACTAAACATTTACATTTACAGCATTTGACAGCCACTCTTATCCAGAGTGACTTACAATTTGATCATTTTATGGTGAAGGCAGTGTTAAGAGTCTTGCCCAAGGACTCTTACTGGCATAATGTAGGGTGCTTAGCGTAGAAGGCAGAGGTGTTACCCACTACACTATACCAACCCCAATACAAAAGTGCTAGCTAACTCTCTGAACTCTCCTGCTGGGGTTTGCTGTCATGAGTGAATGGCTAGACTTCTTCTCTTCTTCTTCCATATTGATATAAATAAAAACGATCTCTAACATTATCGTACATTACTGTGAGTAATAAAGGTTCTGTGCTCTTTATACCAAGGAAGACACTTTGATGAACATGAAACGGAGTGAAGATAGATAAACTGAAGGCATTAGCATAGCTGCTTTCTGATCACTGAAGCTTTCCAGGTATTTATCTTACTACACTGCTAGAAATAAATGTGTGCAGGTACATTTTTCGTAAATCAAGGTACAAAGAATGTAAATGTTCTCTCAAAGGTACAACAGTGGTTTTAAGCTCCAATTGTGCACCTTAAATAGTAGGGGTGCGGGAAAAAATCGATTCTTAGATGCATCGCGATGCGGACGTGAACGATTCTGAATCGATTCACAAATGTCAAAAATCGATTTTCTAAATATTTAATTTATAACGTAATGTTGACGGAATGCGAAAAGGCGGAACTTGGAAGTGGGTAAGTGCAGCGCCCGGACAGTCTGTGGGGCACATAACAAAAACACAACTGGATGAGTGAGAAATCCGACCGGCTCCCTCTGCATTAAAGCCAGGTTAGATCAGGAGTCACAACACAAATGATAAGAAGAGCCATTTTGTCCTTTCAACAAAAGTCAAACCACCTTGGGAGCCGCAGCATTTAATGTCCAGTATGTCTCAGTGTGTGATGATGTCCTAGTATAGACTAAACAATATGAACGAGAGCGCAGATTTACTTCGCTCTGCTTTCAGCTTCGCCTACAGCCGCTTTCCTCCCGTCTCCGCCAGAAAACTTTTCCTCAGAAGTTGATCAGTTAAATGTCTCTCAACGTTCGACTGTTTTACGAGGCTGAAGTCGCTTCTTGTTCTCCAGCTTCTTGTTCGAATTTACCCGTTCCACCTTAAATTCTAACTGAGGCGCCGAATTACTTTTTAGTGTTTGACAGTCTCTCTTTGCAGATTTAACGTACCAGGAAACCAACTTATAAATGCGAATAACGCATCGCTGCTATGTGACCTGCAGTTCTCAGTTGTTGCGAAACAGGGCTTTCGCACTATGTTGCACACGAGCCGTAGATACTTTACTGACACAGCGACACCACCACCACCCCCCCCGTCTCTACAACGAGACCAAAACCGAAGTTATAAAATCACTAAAGAAAACGGGTAGAATAGCTGTAACGCGCTGCGTGGACATCCACTGTCACAGAAGATACTGCACATCACTGCAGGCTTTCTGTGGTGACCTGATGATCAGATGGTGCATTTTTGCTGGTTTGGCTTTGGAGCAAAATCTCCTTCTGCTCTCTGTTCTGTCCCTCACCCACCGGCTAAGCCCCCCCTTTTGGCCGACATTCCACACATTGTGCAAAACGATCCAGTGAATGCAGCTCGCTCGTTTTCGGAAGTGGCTGCTTCACCGAAGCCTCCTGAGTTCCGACAGCGGACATGGCTCCAGGTCAGAGGAGAAAGATGACTCCTCAATGACGGCTATTCTCTTTCAAGAGCTACATCTGTCCAAGCAGGAGAGATCTCTGAGATCTGCACTGCATGGAAACATTCATATTGAACTTCTATGTGTCGGAAAAAGGAAAGGCAAAAAAATGTGTAGGGGTAAAACTATCGGCATCGGACAGACGTTTAAATGTAACCAATATTTCAAACTGTTGTATTCTGGAAGAGCAGAGTGTTTAGTTGATGCTAGGCTAAAATATCTGCATTTTATTCAACTGACTGCGTTTGTAACCCTATAGAAATACACCGATCAGGCATAACATTATGACCACCTCCTTGTTTCTACGCTCATTGTCCATTTTATCAGCTCCACTTACTATATAGGTGCACTTTGTAGTTCTACAGTTACAGACAGTAGTCCATCTGTTTCTCTGCATACTTTGTTAGCCCCCTTTTACCCTGTTCTTCAGTGGTCAGGACTCCCCATGGACCCTCACAGAGCAGGTACTATTTGGGTACATACACATATGCTAATGTCTGTGTTTAATCTAGAAAAATGGCCAAACGGCCAAAAAATGTTCATGTGAGTTTAATGCTAACGTACTACTACTTAAACCCCCTTAGCATTATCGCAGACATGCCATTTTTTTGGACAAAGTTTTCGTATTTATGGCCCAAACGGTGTGTTAGCATCAACAGAAAGACATTAAAAATATATCAGATATCAGCATCGGCCCACAATTCTCATACTGGTGCTTCTCTACAAATCTGTAGCAACAACTCTCCCTTATAAAGGAGCAGTAAAGGCAGCAACACCATCTGCTTTAAAAGCTGACAATTTAATGAAACAAGAAAAAAAAATATCAGGAGATGAGAGGAAGAGCAGAGCAAATTAGGCTGCTTTCACATCCTGAATCTGCAGGGGGGATTTGGGAATGCTTTGAAGGAACCGACAGAATCAATTGCGAATGCCTTTGAATCTCTTTTTTGTTGTTGTCCCTGCGGAGAGAGGAAGGGATTTGTAGTCTCTTAGCACTTCAAGTGCACAGCGCTGAGGCTGCCGCCGTTTACTCCGAGGATTTAAAGCTGGTTGCTCGCAGGGAGTCGTGGGGAAACTGAACTGCTCGATGATTCGTCCGGCTCCGTGCCGCTAATCCCTTCCTCATCACCTTGACGTGTTTTAACCACGTTCTGATTTAATGCTAATACCTCCCGTAAGAGAGTGTGAGAGTGTTAAGCTGCGACGCTCACAGTTTTGGAGTAAAGGCAGCGTAAATCATGGCAGTGCTTCTGTTGGAGGACGCAAGATCTGCTTATCTGCAACCGCCGCAGATTTGAGTGATGCCAGTGGATCACAATGATAGCTGATGGCTTTGTGATTTAGCAGGTTGCGCTGCTTTTAAACATGAAGCGCGAGTGTTTGCGAGAGTGCACACAATCTACAGACACAAGTAAGGTATTAGACATTTAATCTCTTTAAAAATACAAAGTGCAGGAAGTCGTCCTGTGAGCACTTCTCTGTAAGAGTGGGTAGAAACTTCGGCGCAAATCCACTTAAAGCCTGCAAAGCCTCGGAGACCAAAACGGAGAGTCGATACTGACAGTCTTCTGGCACAGAATCAAAGGATACAGATATTGGGTAATCATTCCCAATTCTGTCTGCAGCAGCTCCCACCGCATTCTTCTTCTCTTGTTTATGACTCTCGGACAAGAAGGGACTTGCCCTGAAAGTGGAATCCAACTAGGTTCAATCAGCTGGGCTTCATCGCTCTGCAAGGCCGACACATCCATTAAGAGCTTTAACAGCGTGGGAATGCAAGGGGACGATTGGTCAGAAAGATGGTCTGAATTGGTCATGAACCTGAGGTCGATACAAGGCAAACCCTCTAATACTTTAATGGTAATCAATATGTGTCTGAAACAACCTGTTTTTATTGTACTCTCACCACCACAATATATGGAGTATTCGGATTTCTGATTTACAACCAGCCAATAAACTCAAAGATAGGACGTGGCGTAAACGTAATGCATAATATGCACGCCACTTTACCGGAAAATATGAACATACATGATCTAGAAGATGAAGAATATTTAAACCCTTCATTTCGTTGAGGATGTAGTCGGTTTCAGCGTCACTCCAAAGGTTTTTTAATGCATCCCGCAGCCACGCTGCTCGCTTATTTCCGGTACCGCCGTCAGTTTTCGCACACGCGCAGACTGAGAAATCCAAAAGAAATCAGAGTAAGAGTTTACATACAGTAAGAAATCTGATTACTGAGCTAAAATCTAGCCTCTTTATCAGATTTCTAGATCAGAGTATGGTGTTTACATGACCATTTGAAAAATCGGGTAACTGCAGAAATCCGATTATGATTATGACGGATTATTGAGTGCATGTAAACGCACTCATTGTTTTCTAATGTAGGCTACATTGCATTTTACCCTGTACTATAAATGATGTGAGATACATTTTGAGTTTTTGTTCAGAGGAGCAAAATGGAAGAAAAAACATCAAACCAAGCGTTTTAAAACATGTATCAAACAAGAACTAGAGGTGATGGTGGAAGAAACAGCCCACAGGAAAAAATCCTCTTTGGAAAATATGATAACTGTGGGGTGATGGACGAGGATGAGGAGCAGCAGAGCAGCATCCGAGTTTGACAAA